GCTCCCCGCCCTCTCTCTTGGGGTTGCCCTCGTCTGTGGACGAAGTGGTAGGAAGTGTCTGGCCCCAGCGGGCGATCTCGGCGTGTTCTGCCACCGAGGCGGCCACTGCCTCCAGCCAGCCGTTCATCTCCTCCTGGGGGAAGAAACAGGCCAGAGTCTGTATTTGTAAGAGAGGCGCTTGAGTCATAGATGCATCTCACACCAGACTGTCCTCTCTGAACAAATCTATTAAATAGGGACCACGATGATGATGCAGATAGGAGCACAGCCCTTACTATGCCAGTCTCTGTTCTAAGCACTTTAGTGGATGGGTTCCTTTAAACTTATGCAGTAGGATTAAATGTAATTCCCACTACAGAGATAAACAAGAACAAGGATGATGATAATATGGGCAGACACTTCTTGAGTACTGGTATTTACTAGACACACCCCCCTCCATCCTTCCCCAAGTGTGCTGTATGTACCAATTTAATTCTCAGAAAACCCTATGAGGAGAAACTGCAGATAAGAAGGAGGCAGGAAGTGGATAAAGGCCTACTTCCCAGCCTCTCCTGAGGCATGAATGAGATAACAAGTGTTATTTCTTACTCTCAACATCTCTTCAAACCACCTCCATGCATGCTCCTCCTCCCCTGACCTCACCCCTCAGTCCCAGTTCTGAAGCTGTCTCTCACCCTCCTCTGCCTCCTCTCCCCACAGGCCTGGCTGGCCCAGCCTTGAAGGCTCCCCTCTGGGTCCCTGCCTGGCTGTCTTCTGGGCTCCCCACCGCCACCCGTGCCCTCTCCTGTCTACCCTGTTCATGGTAGCCAAAGGAAATTTTCTTATGCATCATTGTAACTTTACCCTCTCTGGCTCAAAACCCTACCATGGCTTTCTAGTGCCCTTAGGACAGAAATTCAACTTTTTCTTTCTTTCTTTCTTTTCTTTTCTTTTCTTTTCTTTTTTTTTTTTGAGACTCCCCAGGCTAAAGTGCAGTGGCCTGCTCATGGCCACCACAGCCTTGACCTGCTGGACTCCGGCGATCCTTCCACCTCAGCCTTCCAAGTAGCTGGAAACTACAGGTATGTGCCAATACACGCCTGGCTAATTTTTTGATTTATTGTAGAGATGAGGTCTTGCCAAGTTGCCCAGTCTGGTCTTACACTCCTAAGCTCAGCCAATCCTCTCGCCTCTGCCTCCCAAAGTGCCCAACCTTTTCAAAGGCCCACAAAGTCCTGAGAGATCCAGCTCCTGGAAACCTTTCTGGGACCTTCCTCCTTGAACTCTGTCCTCCAGCAGTTAACCCTTTGCAATTCTGCACCACTGATCCTCTGCACTTGCAGGTCCCTCTACCTGGTTCTCCTCTTTTTAAAGCTAACTCCCTCCTGTTATCTTTCCAGTCTTTTCTGAGTAGCCAAGTCATCAGGGCTTCCAGTCAGCCCTCCCTGAACTCCTTCCCATTTCTCCATGGATTAGAAACCTCCTCTGGGCCCTCACTGCCCGTGGGCCTTCCCATTACAGCCCTGATAATCCCAGCCAGAAAGATCATTCCTGAGGTTCACATAGGGGAGGAAAAGGACCAGATCTCACCTCATCTTTAGCCTGGAGCAGAAACTCGCTGCCATCTTGGGTCCTGCAGGAAGGGACACAGGACTTGGGGGATGTGGAGAAGGGGTCCAGCCCACCAGCCCACCAACTGTCCTCCAGGAAACCAGGGTCCTTGGGAGAGGGAAGCTGGGCCTTGGACCCCTTCCTCCCACCCATTGGGGGTCTCACTGGAGCTTGAAGACATGCTTCTTTTTCTTGTAGTCACTAGCCACCTCGCTGGTGGCCTTGTGCAGGCTGAGCAGTGGCTCCCCGCCGTGTGTGCTCCCAGACGCTGGGCCCTTGGAGTCCTTGTAGAAGCCCAGCTCCCCCTTACTGAGCACGCAGTACAGGCTCACCCATGACCTGGAGTGACAAGATGGGGCTCAGGGCAGAGCCGCTGCACTCTGCTTGAGTACTGTTCATTAACCTCCTCATGGGCCAAATACACCTGAGCTTCCCACCTCTGAGCCTTCGCTCTAGTTGGGCCATGTGCCTAGGATGCTCTTCCATATAGCTGTTGCTGGTCTGAGGGAAGCATCTCAGCCTCTCAGTACCATGGCCCCTGATGGGGTTGCCCTTCCTTATCCCCTCCCACATGGAATTTCCTGAAGGCAAGACTCCAACTGTTGCCTCCATAAGCCTTTGCTCCACTCATTCCTCCCTACTGCCCCACCCCTCATAGAGCTCCCTCGAGGAAAATCGATTGATCTACTGTCTGGAATGAGGAATTCCTGCCTCCCTATTCAGCTAAAGCCTCAACCAAGGAGGAAGTCTTCTAGGAGCAAAATATACAAGGAATCCCTGTTTATTTCCACCTTGGCCTAGATATAAGGAAGAAAGACCAGACCCCACCAGCAAAATCTGAATCTGCCCTTCCCATTTCACATCTAGGGTTTAGGCCTCACTCCACTCGCTGGTTAGTGCCACCCTTTTAGGTGCCACCTGTCCCCAGATTCTGCCTCTTAGTTGGACAAAAAGATGTTGGGCAAGCTGAAGCTGGCCTCCAAGAGAAGACACATCACGACTAGACCCTCATTTGGAATCTGTAAGAGATTACTACCCCAGGCCGCCAGCCCACAGAATTTGTGTTCTGTCCCTTTTCAGACCCTCCTGCAATTTGAAACTTCAAGGGTGGACCCACCCCACCTCACTGGTAGCTATTAAAACCTTCCAGTCTAGACTCCACTCCCAATTCGCCGCTTAGGGATGGTCAACTCCCGGGTTGGCAGTCGTGAGATGAGGGCCCAATTTATTCACTTTCACAACCTTTTCGTCCTGCCCCCCATGTAAGCTCCACCCACTCAGCACTAAGTTTGGGCCCCGCCCCTCCCGGTCATTGGCTGGGTTCCCCGAAGCCCCACCCACCGGTGAGAGGCCCGGAAGTTGAGCCACCCCCTCCTCGGGCCCACCTAGCCACTCGCTGGCCGCCCCGAG